TCACCATCACCATCACCATCATCATCGGCGTCGTCGTCATCACCATAGCCATCGTCGTCATCATTGTTGTCGTCGCCGTCGTTCTCGTCTTCGTCGTCGTCATCCCCATCACCACCATCACCACGACCATCACCGCCATCGCCGCGCTCACGTTCGTGCTTGCAGCTGTCACCGTGCTCGTCGTTATCATCAACAGCAGCAGCACCACCACCACCGCCATCAGCACCACCACTGCCGCCGCCATCCGCAGCACGGCCCGCTTCCTCCGCCCCCCGAGGCGGCCGGCAGCTCGGCCTGGGCAGGCGCGCCCCCGTGGACCGCCGGGACCGCCGGGGCTGCGGCCACCTGCGGTGCCACGTCGGGGAGGCTCGAGAATGACTGAGACAGTGGGGTACCATCCAACAAGTGGGGCACAGAGTGCTGCGATGCCTAGTTCTTGACGTGCCCCATCCGAGTTGGCATGCCGCAGATGAGTACAACGCTGGCAGCGTCACGACGAACTCGTGAACCTGACCCGAAGGTCATTCATGTGATCTACTTCTCCGTCTGGCCTTTTCGAACAGGCATGGAGTTGCCAGAGATGTCAGTGCCAACATCGAAAACCAACAACTGAGTGCTGCTCACCCTGTCGCGCAGCTCTCGGGGTCGCGGCGCACCTTCAAATGCCTCAGAGGCAGCGCGCCGCGACCCGAGAACGTGCAAACAAGCATCGCTGGCGCCTGGCGCAGATGCGCGCCGATGTACTGCCTCCTGTCCCTCAGCGCCCGTCCCAAGCGTCCGACCTCACCCTGCGAGCATGACCCTTCCTCCGTCGCCCCAAAAGCATTGCGCTCGCTGCCATTCAGCAAGCTTCGAAGTCAAAGTCGGCGTGGGCGTCCGCGGCCTGCCAGCGGAGGAAAGATGCCTCCGCCCACGACCGCGCGGCAACCCGCAACACGGGAAGCCAGGGCGAGCGCTGGCCACTGGCACCAGAGACGGCACGGTCGGGGAGGCGTATGACGTAGGACTCGAGCTTGAGGGGAAAGTTTATAGAAGGAGGAGGAGGAGGAGGAGGAGGAGGAGGAGGAGGAGGAGAGGGCCGGCTGAGGTCTGCCAGGACCGCGCCGCCACTCATTCCGACTCCGAGCCCTCCGCGCCGCCCCCGCACTCCGTGGTAGCGTCCGAGGGCGCATCCAGCACGAGCTCGGCCTTCTCGCCGCACGCGGTGTCCTGGATGATCTGGTCCGCGAGGCCGGTCCAGCCACGCTTCTGGCAGGCGCGCTTCAGGCACCGGCAGGTGCTGCCGCAGGCGGCCGCCTTCGATCGGACCGTCTCGTTGTATAGCGCGAGGGCGTCCTCGAGCCTCTGGAGCCGGACGAAGCAGCAGACCGCGTCGCGGTAAGCAAACTGGCAGGGCCTGACGCCATCCTCTCGCATCGCCTCGAAGAGGGCCACCGCCTTCTCCGCCCTGTTGTTGGAGGCGTAGGCCCTGATCAGGGTGCTATAAGCCTTGGCGTCGGGAGCGAGCCCGTAGGATGCCATCTGCTCGAGCGACTGCTGTGCCTCGGAGACCCTGCTGAGCCGGGGGTACGCGTAAAGCGCCTCACGGAACGCCACCTTGTCGGGCCGGCCGCCCTGCTTCACCGCCTCTTCGGGGCGCTCAATGGTGCGCTCCAGGGGCGCTCTGGGTCCAGCTGGTCGACGACGGGGCCCGTCTTCCTGCTGCCCTCCCCGGCGCTGCCGAGGAAGAAGGCGGCGAGGCACGCCAGCAGGACGAGGACGTCGCTCTGCTGAAATATCTTGGCTGCCCCGCCCACGCTGAAGGCCTACGCGGCGAAGGCGAGGAGGAGCGCCGCGAGGCAGGAGAGATGCTTTGGGCTGCTGTCCCACATCATAGCACGAGTGGGGATGTTCTTCTCTCGAAGACGAGTGGTATGTTTCCTGCACGGCGGGCTGTGTGCCTCCAACACGACCTGTACATCAGGTGCTCGAGCAGCAACTGGACCAAAAAATGGCTTGAGCCAAAATGGCTACGGCGCCACGTCGGGGAGGCTGAGGAGGAGGAGGAGGAGGAGGAGGAGGAGGAGGAGGAGGAGGAGGAGGACGAGGATGAGGAGGAGGAGGAGGAGGAGGAGGAGGAGGAGGAGGAGGAGGAGGAGGAGGAGGAGGAGGCGGAGGAGGAGGAGGAGGCGGAGGAGGAGGCGGAGGATGAGAGGCGCCGCCTCTCGAGGGCGCCTATCGCGCGCGCGCGCCGCCCAGGAGGAGGAGCCACTGGCGAGGGCGTTGGAGAGGGAACCGCTGGACAAGGAATTCAGGGTCTGGAAGCCCGCGGAACCCCGATCGTGGAGTGGCCATGGGCATCACCGCCGCCACCATTTCGGGGGTTGCCAATGACGACCTGCCAGACCACCCCAACCCAACCCGAAGACCCGAATTTCGGGTTGGGGGGGGTAAGGGTTCCACGCGTGTTTTTTCTATGTTTCCCGACACCCCCACTAGAAATCGAGGGTAAATCTGAGCCTTCAGGTTGGGTTGGGGTGGTTTGGTGGGTGGTGAACTAAAGGTGCCCCTGCCGCAAGGTGCCCCCAGTTTTTCGTTCTATTCTAGAGCCCCTGGGGCCATCTGGGAGTTGTGAGGGGTGCCCTGAAGGCCGTGGGGGCCTCCTTGGAAATCCTGGGGGCACCTTGGGCCAGGGGCACTTCTAGCAACACCCGACCACTGGATGAGGAATCCTCCGGGGTCTGAGGCCTCCGGGGCACATTACTTCACGAACGCCCCCGCCGCACCTGCTCCAGAGCTGCAGGCGGGGCCGCCCAAGGACGAGCCAGGGGCTCGCCTGCCCTCTTGCAGAACGGACTACCACCGAAGACGACGACGACGACGGCGAGAACGACGACGACGACGAGGACGACGACGGTGAGGACGAGGACGAGGACGACAACGAGGACGACGACGAGGACGAAGCATGTGCTGCAAGCCCACTGAGTCGTGCCAAGGCGCCTGCCGCCGGACTGAACACGTCGAAGGCGCTCACCGCTCGCTCAACGATTGCGACGGGGCTCACGGCGACGACGACGACGACGACGACGACGACGTAGACGGGCTGGTGCGGGCGTGGGCCGAGTACGCCACCCGAGGCGCAGCCTGCTGCAAGACATCAACAGAACGATTCAAGGGCAACCCACCTCGGGCATCCGTGGACAGCCGACGCCCTACTTGGGAAGCAACTGCTGGGACGTCTTCGTCGGAGGGACTAAGGAAAAGTACGCCCCAATCAGGGGGCATTTCCGCCGGAGTGGGCCGCGGATTGAGCCAGATTCAGCGGGATTCTAACAGGATTCAACCGGATTCAGCGGGCCCAAGCGGGACTAGGCCGGAGTTCGGACCAGGGGAACGTCAGAATCTGACCTCCCAGGAGTGGCATCCGAACCCCACCTCGCGGGGGTGGGCTGTCTGCCGCCTGTTGCGGAGGAACCGGACCGGAGCGGAAGCGAGGGTTTAGGGTTTAGGGTCTACAAGCTCTGCCGCAGCTGATCCCCTCCTGCCCAGGAGCCCACCTGCGGTGGCTGCCAGTCCCACCCGCAAACCACCCTACAATAAAGATCATCTCTCCCCTCGTTGTAAGCACAACAAATGGGAGCGTTTGGGAGCGCATGGGAGCGCCTGGGAGCGCTGGGAGCACTTGGGAGCGCCTGGAACGCATGGAAGCACGTAGGAGTGCTTGGGAGCGCCTGGGAGCGCTTGGGAGCGCCTGGAGCGCTTGGGAGCGCCTGGGAGCGTTGTGAACGCCTGAAACATCATGGAAGTCATATTGTCAAACACCGGATTCTGCGACAGCGGCGCACTTGGTAAGGAAAGTCTCATAGGTGTATGAACGCATAAGCAGGAAGTGCTATTTGTGCAATGGATGGCAAGAGTGTACGTCCGCGGACGCGCATTTGCATTGTAAATCGCAAGGGATCGTGCACGCATGAGCCAGAAAATAATATGTTTTGCAAGGGATGGCCTTGATTTTCGTCCGCGGACGCGCATGTGTAGTGTAAATCGCAATGGATTCTGCACGCATGATCGGAAAATCATATTTTGTGCAAGGGATGGCGCTGATTTGCGTCCGCGGACGCGCATTTGTAGTGTAAATCGCAATGGATTCTGCACGGATGATCAGGAAATGGTATGTTTTGCAAGGGATGGCGCCGGTGTACATGCCGGTGCGTATGTGCCCGTATGTACCTGTATGTACCCGTATGCAGCCGGTTTTACAATATTCAGGGTTTAGTAACTATAGGGTTAAGAATTTAGGGTTTATGAAGGGGCCCCAGGACACACAAAGAAATACACACAAAAAAAAAGATCCCCCATAGTTTCCTATATGTTCTGGGTGTTTGTCCTCCCCCCACTTCCCACACTTTCCCATACTTTCTCTGGGGGATCGTCGAGTCATTGTGTCTGTGTGCTTTTTTCCCTCCTGAGTTTAGGGTGCGGGGGCCGGAGCGGAGGCGGAGAGCGGGGGCGGGCACGGGCGAGGGCCCCCCGCGCCTCCCTGGCACGGGTTCGGCCAAAGGGGGCCGCGCGCCCAAGGTCAGCATCCAGAGCAGGGGGATGCGCCAGAAGCACAAGCTGTCGGCGCTCCGCGCGGATCTCTCCTCCTCCTCCGCCCTCCTCCTCCTCCTCCTCCTCCTCCCCCTCCTCCTCCTCCACCTCCTCCTCCTCCCCCTCCTCCTCCTCCTCCTCCTCCTCCTCCTCCTCCTCCTCCTCCTCGGCGGCGGACCCCCCAGGGTTCTTCTGCGAGCATCCCCGCGTTCAGCTGGGCTTTCCTGGCGCTGGGGTCGGACCATGACGCTACCGACCAGCCAGCAGCTCGCCGTGGTCAGGACCCCTTGCGCCCAGTCGGCTAGGTCTGGCCCCCCGGGATCGCCGGCCCAGGGCGGGCGTGGTCACGCGTAGCTCTGGATGCGGCTCACGTTAGTATCAAGTCAGGAGACTCTAGCCCACGCGGAGTTCCCCGTGATCAGCGACTCGGTGCAGCCACGCGACGCTACGCCAAAGCGGCAACGCTGAGCTCCCCAGCCACATACCTCCGCGCTGTCGGACATGTGCGGCAGCGCGACAGGATCTCCGTGACGAAGGGCAGGAGGCAAACTACTCGAGGAGACCAACGAGCTTGGGTAGAACTACGCAGCCATGTGCTAGAACTCCCACTCATGACTGCGCCGAACAGCCAGCCACTGGCTGAATCCGGTGGCCAGGCTCATGAACGAGTCGACCTCTCGCTGGCTTGCTCGGTCGACGAAGGCCGCATCGGTCGTGGACCACGGGCGAGGGGAGCCTGTCGTTGGCTGGACCCGCGATGGCGGCAGAAGTGTGGGCGTAGACCAGGACCAGGCGGCGGAATGCCCGCTGGTTGCACGAGATGTTTTTTTTTTTTTTTAGCGGCCGCCCGTGCCCGGTGTCCGCGGCCGCCAGTGGGCAGCACCAGCGACAACCAGCCCTCACGGAGGCGGTGGCCCCTCCCAGCGTCCCCCACAGCGCCAACTACTGTGCAACACCATGCTCGCTCGGGGAGCCATGCCACGCAATACTTCAGGTGGGGGACTTCTCCCAATCGGGGACGTACCAGACTCCCTGCGGCAGGCAAGCGATTCCAGACCCCCCTGCTGGAGGCAGCACCATACCATGCTCCCTGCGTCCGCTGGCAATCAACAAAAAAACGTCGCGCTGAAACCTCCAATGGCTGAGCTGCCAGGACCCGAAGTGAACGTAGCAAATGGAACTCCGACCGACTGGCATCGTAGCAGTTCTGAACACAGCAGGAGGTGGAGCTCTGTGCCAAAGGAGGGGGGAGTGGCGGAGGCCAGCGGCCAAATCACAAACAAACAGCACATGGCAGGGCACTGAAGCGCTTGACAGAACCACGCGTGACTTCTTTCGCACGTGCAGCCTGGATCGCACTGAAAGGCACACGGCAGATGTGTTCTGGACGTCGGTCTCTTTGCCAGTGGCTGTAGCTCGCCCAACTCGCCGGCCAAGCGCGCGTTCTTCCGCACTCCAAGTCCAGACGTCTCGAGTCGAGGATGATTACATACTGCGGCTTTTCTGCGAACCTTGGCCCGTGCGGAGATCGCGCGGCAGCTGCGGAGCCTGCCCCGCCTTCGCTGGGGCAGTCGCCGTTCGCACAAAGAGTGCCTGTGCTCGCCCTCGCACCGTGTACGAAACCATGGCGTGATCGCCTAACAGCCGACGGACGAATTGATGATATGAAGGGGCCCTGGGACACACAAATAAATACACACAAGTAACAGAATTCCCAATATTTTCGTATATTTTCTGGGTTTTTGTCTTCCCCCCCACTTCCCATAGTTTCCCATCTTTTCTAGGGAATCGTCGATTCATTGTGTCTGTGTGCTTTTTCCCATCCTGACGATAACGGCCCTGGTGGAAGACGAGAAGAACAGAGACCTGCACAAACATGCGCGGATAGGGGGCCAGATGCGAACCCTATCCCTACCCCCCACGATTTCTAAGGGAGAGGGTGGGGTTCACTTTGCTCAGGAGCTCCCGAACGAAGTGAACCCCACCCTCCCCCTCAGAAGCCGTGGGGGGTTGGGGTAGGGTTCGCATCTGGCCTCCTATATTTTTGGGGTTTTGTCTCCGCGCGAACTTCTCGGATCGGCGCTGGGAAACCTCCTCATCCTCCCTCCTCCATCCTCTCTCCTCCTCCTCCTCCCCTTCCTCCTCCCCTCCTCCTCCCCTTCTCCTCCTCCTCCTCCTCCTCCTCCTATCCTCCCCTCCTCTTCCCCCTCCTCCTCTCCCTCTCCCTCCTCCTCCTCTCTCCTCCCTCCTCATCCTCCTCCTCCTCCTCCTCTCCTCCTCCTCATCCTCCTCCTCCTCCCCCCCCCTCCCCCTCCTATAAACATGAACTTCTTGGAGCCCCGCGCCGAGCTTCTCGGACCGGCGCTGGGCCCCCCCCTCCCCGCGCGCGTGAGCGGCCGGGGGCCGCCAGAGGGAGCCGAGCGCCG